AACACAACTCTGAGGACACAAAACTGAAATACCATCTTTCTCTTCAACCTCTATTGTCTCCTCCAGGGACTTCCTACAATTTCACTGAATTCCAGATGCATTCTGAAATAATTTTAGCTCCTCTCATGTGAAAGACACTGGCCTAGGTAAAAATAATAGACAAAAACCCCTGCCCTCATGGGGCACATCTTTCAGTGACTTCTTTGATGTTCGACTGAGCCTACCCAGCTTTGGTTACTAGTTGATAATGATCTGCTCAATTTTAATGTTAATTTTCAAAGGAGAAAATTCATTCCAAAAGGAAAAAGCAAAATCTAACCCAAGCTCTTCTTCCAAAAATCCTTCTATACCGAATAGAAATTCTAATGAGGCAGAAAATTTGTCTGGTGTGAACCAGAGAAAAAGAACTTAAGCAAATTAGTTGTGTGAAAATCAGTATCCATCTACTTCTAGCGGAGTATATCCTTTCATACAACACGACGCTGCCGCACCGAGAGATCTGTTTTGCTCATTTTCCCCGGTGGCAGTAATGCTTGTTCCGATTCACTTGTTTGCTCTGGTCTGATCTATCTTGGGACCTAAAACAGGTATTTTTCATGACTGGCTAAGGTGAGGAGAGCAATTTAGATACATGAACCTGATGAGGCAATGACTGATTAGAGCAGGATTTAGCTTGGGCACTTGGTCCCAAGTAACCATTTGCTTCACAATAATGTATGCAGATAATTATTAGAAGCTCTGGAGGAGCTTGCTGACTGGTGGGTATCAATTTAGGGTGACCTAGGTGTTTTGTGAAGGGACTCCAAGTGTCAATATCTGAAGGTCTCTTCTTTGGGTTGGTCAGTTTCCCTAGGGAACCGTCTCCAACCTCCTGCCTGAGGAGGATAAAGCTGTATGTCATAGCTGATAAGGAGGACGGGAGTCTTACCCTTCAATACATCAATTTTCACTTAACTCTTGTTTTCAGCATGACACATCTCATCTCTTCTCTCAGCTATGCCTTATGAACATGAAACCAGAGCCTTCACTGCTCAGTTTCTCCAGAGAATAAACCTCCAGCCTTTTGCTGACGAGAGGAAGAGACAGTCATTTGGCAGAGTAGCTTAGAGAAGGAACCTAGAGGGTCTCATTGCTGCTTTCAAGAACTCCTCTCAACAATTCCGCCCACCTTATCGGTATCTACAGAGGTACACAGGGCCTCCGATACCCTGACCCTTTCCAGAGTTCCTAGTTGGTGCGAGGCAACTTGTTCTCTGACGGCTAAGTTTTTGTTCTCGGAGGTATGCCAAATCAGTTAGCACTCATCAACTAGCTTCTCAGCTCCCAAGACTCAGTTGGTATCCCCTGTCTCCAATCATCTCATCTCCAATGCCTCGTCTCCCACTCTCTTTGTTCTGGGAAGCTTGTCCCTCTTATTCCTTTATTGTTATTTTAGTGGGATTTGGGGATGGAGCAGAGATAAATGCATGTATTTAATACACCATGTTAAACAAAAGTTCTAAAATAATTTCCTTAGTCTCTCATTCAACAACTATGTAAGTGCTTGACAGTGCATCACTGAGAATACAGCAATTAATATTAAAGACACAGTCTCTGCAGCTCACATATAGTCCAGGAGGAATCAGACAATGCATACGTAATTCCACACGTGCTGACAGAGAAAAACGAAGGGTTACAACAGGCTCACCTAACCAAGGTTGGGCGGACAGAGAGAATATGGGAAGGACTCCTGGAGGAAATGACTACTAGCCTATCACCGGTGAATTTTCTACAGTTCTGACTGTTAAGCCTGGTGGGACAGCTTACCGGCGCTGGATCTGCCTTGCAAAATTGTTGCTGGAAGCTGAGCAGGGAAACTGGACTTCACTGTGCAGGGTGGCATTACGGAATAGGTCACAGAAGTTCTCAAAGAGCTCTAAAAGCTCATCTGATGTATTCTCAAACACAGCAATCACCTCTGTTGTCACCATGTTGTACACCACAAAGAAAGATGCCTGCAGAAGAACAGAGAGAGCTTTGGGACAGCTGGGTAGAATGCCATGCCTTGGTAAGGAGCACCGGGCTGAAAATTCAAGCCACCCAAGTAAAATAAGCAAACACCTCTGCTCTAACAAGAGGCAGAGCCATGGCTCCAAGTGGTTCTAGGAAAGGAGGAAGCCTAACTGGGCTTCATCATCAGTCAAGGACCTCAGTCAGTGCTGCTAGAATTACTGAACTGGCCCACCTGTATGCACTTCAGACCATGCAAATTCCGTATTTTTCCTTCTTTGTATTTATTCCCTACCTGCTCCCTAACCCACCCTGAAATAAAAAACACATTTTTTAAATGCCAGATTTAATTTTCTTCCCTGCTGAGGAAGTGATTTGCAGCCTGGAGCTGCCTGTTGGCAAATTATTTTCTCTTGTGTATGTACAGTTGAAAGTTCAGTTTAGGGGCATTTATTTTCCCTCCTTGTACTTCTAACATGCAGAGAGACACCTTAAGTACATTGTGTCCTAAAACTGCCCAGGCAAGTTGTAACCAGGGTACAGCTGCTGAACAAATGAAAAATCAGAGAGACATTTTCCATTTCTTTCTTCATAAGTGTTCGTTCAGCCAAGAACATCCATACTGTATGCTTGAGATTTGTAGCAGTTAGGGTCAGTGGGGGAACCTGAGAAGCATTCGAATGCCATAGGAGGCACTGTCGCTGCCTGTTCTGAATGGGCCCCTGAGTGACTAGCCCTCTTCCTTTCAACCTCCAGAGCTCTGCTTGACCCAACAAGGAACTCCAGGTTCTGTCACAGGAATGTGGCAGTGTGAATCAAACTGCAAGCTTCCAACAGGATTCAAAGTGTTCAGAACACTAAGATTAGTATTCCCCCTCCCATGATCGAGTTTAAATCTCCATTACCAATTTCTGGAGTCATCTGGCCCACCTGTTTTACTAGTAATTAGTCCTTCCCGGAGCTTTTATTACATGTCTTTCGTGGTCACCTGGAAATTAAATTTGTCTATAAATTAGAGAAACTGGAGGGTAACCTGAGAATAATACCCTAATATTAGCAAGGCTTTGTGTCTGGATGTACTTTTTACTCATTAACCTTATTGGAACATATCAAACCTAACTGGGGAAAGACCAGGGAGGTCACTGGGGCAGAGAGGTGGGGTTTGAAGTTACAGACTCTGTAACCAAAGCGCAGAGCCCTAATGATGTTTCCAACTACAACTCATCGTAGCTATCAAAAATAAATAGGTTGTGTTTTAGCAAGGGCAAAAAGGATAACCTCAAATGCGGCAATCACAGACAACTTATTCCCTCCAAAATAAGAAGGTAATTATAACTCAAACCTAAACAAAGATTGACTCACATCCTTCCTACAGACCTGGACAGCACTTTGATCATATCAGGGCTTTACCAGGATCCATCATAATTAGATGAATATAGAATTACACAAACATTTATAGCCTTCCCTCCAGGGCAGACTGGGAAATACAGGACAGGAGGCTGCAGAAGTCAAGGGCTTCACCGCCAATCTCCCATGACTCATAGGATGAACTAGATGCTCGCCCACGAAGGCCCAATGAGTGGCTTCATAATTGTCAGGGAAGAAAAAGAATCCAGAAAAAATTACCTCTAACTATATTACTGCCCCCCACACCTTTTTTGGTTTTGAGAACACACAAACTATGATTCAGAAGAAAAATGTTAGAAAGCATTTTACCATGGATGGCTTGTTTAGGCTTTAGGAGACAATGCCCTATACAGTCTCTTATCAGTAGAATCGGCTGCAGGTCACTGGGAGACACCAGAGTCAACCGACTTCGTGGTTTATTGGTTTGCTCTCTGTTCCAAGTTTCCAAACTAGTATCTAAGGAGACAATCTGGAAACAGGAGAATGGGGCAAACATACAGACAGGTGAGTCTATTAACTGGTCAGTGCTGAGGTGGAGAGCTTCTCAAAGGGAAATGGCCAAATCACCCCAAATTTCAACATGGTGTTTCGACCCGAGTCTTCGAGGTTTCTGTGCTCTTACCATCCACCATCCAACACCCTATTCCCGTTTGAGAAACTCCTCTCTCCTACCAACATCTTTCACCCAAGCTGAAAATGCCACAGGATGATTCACGTGAGGGACCAGAAAGCTGGCCTTCCTTTTTATCTTTTCAGGGCTCTGCAGCCTGTGCTGGTCAAGGTCAGGGGAAGGTCACTGAACTTCCCTGTCAAGTGGACTTACCTATCAGTTACCTTCTAAAGTCTTTGTGAAGGAGTATATTGACATTATTTAGGTAGGTGCAGATAAAATGAGAGTTCCTGTGGCCGGGATTCTTACCTGGCCCAGGCTGACTAGCTCACTGCACACCTGTGGGCAATACATGGCTGTTGACTCTATATTAAAGAGCTCCGCCCAGTGCTCTGGGCAGGACACGGTGGCAGGGCTGCAAGGCTGCAGGAGAGCAGAGGCTGGAGTGGTGGCAGCACCGAGGACAGAGGCCCAGAGGACGGCTGTGCGGGATGACTGTGTGGACAGAGAGGCCCAAAGGACAGCTATGCAGACAGAGGGGCCCAGAGGCAGGGACTGGCTTGCTGCATGCAGACTCACTCTTAGTGAATGGGATTCTAGTGACTGACCTGCCACCTGGAAATAAAGTTGGGTATAACCCTTTCACCTCAAAAACGTTTTGCTGTCGATTTCTTTGGCCACACTGAATCCACAACAAACTTGCCTGGGGCTGAAACCATTGGCAAGACAGCAGAGAAGAGAGACTAGACTTTCAGAGCATTGTTTTGTAGGGTGGGCTCATTTTCACTGCCAGAACTAAGCCAGTCAGACCAACAAGCACAAAAATCAAGGCAGAATTATCCACTGGCAGGCCGAACCTTGACCTTGGGGCATCTGGGCTTCTATCTCAAGGGTACTGAAAATGCTCTGCAGAAGAATGAGGGTAATAAGCACAGAGCTGACTGTCGTCTACATGCCAAAGGCTTGGCGTTAGCTTCTGGGTCCAAATACATGCAGGTGGCCAGAGAAGAATGAAACTTTGTTAACTCTGAGCCCTAGAATGGTAAAAATTCAAGACTACATAAAATGTGTTTCCGAGAGGCTGGCTACAGGCAAAGAGAGACACCTTCCCATCTCACCGCAGGGACGGAAGGAGTGACAGGGCGGGGGGCACGCATACCTGCGAGGGGTCTGTGACCCGCAGGGTCGCCACATCCTCGCTGGCGTACTTGATGAACAGATGGTTCTCGTCCAGAAGCTGCATTTTCCACATGCGCAGCTGCCTCAGTTGGTCGAAATACTGGAAGAAGCGCCTCTTGGCCATCGCACTGCCGTCCTGCTCTGCTCGGCGCCACAAGTACACGAGCAGCCGGTGCTTCAGGGAGTTGATGAAGGGGTCTCTGAAAGGACTGGCCATGCCTGTCTGACTGTCCCGCCGCACCTCAGGGAAGACGGCCGACACGGTGAGGAGGTCATCCTCATAGCAGAAGCGGCCAATGGTCCGCACGTCAATGAAGGTGCCTTCAGGGGTCACCTGGAAGACATGGATGGTCTGCTGCTGCACTGATAAGATGGCCAGGATGTTTTTGTACAGGTACAGACCCTGGTTGTGTGACAGGACCACTTTGTCACACTTGAAGGTGCGCGTATCACACAGGCGGCCGGTGTGAAGGTCAATGATGTGAAGGGAATAGTCCTCCAGAGGGGACCGTGGGTTGGGGGTCACAGACTCACTGTTTCGATACACCTCATAAAAAGGTGGGTGGGGCTCGTCGGGGAGGTAGGCGGCGGAGCCCACGATGACACACCGGCAGTCATCAGTGAAGAGACTGCACTCGCGGTTCAAGTGCTCGCCATTGGCCGCTACGTTTGTGATGTGCAGCAGGACAAAGAAGCGTTCAAAAAGCCGGCCCCGGATGTTGACTGACCGCTGGTCGTTGCCGTTGGACAGGATCTCGCCCTCACAGCCCCGCAGGAGATCCTCGGCTGCCTGGCAGCCCTGGTACTCGTAGATTTCCAGGGAGGTCTGGTCTGAAGAGAAAGCGATAAAGTAGCGTCCATCGGGTGAGAATTTGCGCAGGAAACAAGGAGGCTTTTCCACGTTGACGACTGTGAAGTTGGGGAAGACGTTCTGGTGGAACACGCGGACCTGATGCCAGTGGGTGCCTGCCCTGCCTGAACTGATCCGCCGGCGCTCCAAGCGGTGAATCACATTTTGGTTTTGGATTCTTCGAGGTTTAATGGTGGAAACATGGTAATCCATTATCTCATCTCTGCATAGAAAAGTAAAGTAAAGAAAATAAAACAAAATTTACTAAAACATAAGTATACACAAGCCAAGCACATTTCCCTCCTTATAACCTGGACCAAAGAGCTCCCGAGAGACAGTGATGAGCATTTCTCCTTCCCAGATTACAGTCGGGAAGCAGCCCTGATGTTTCTGAGTCCAGAAATAGGTTTGCAGGGAAGTCCTCATTCACAGGAATTCCTTCGAAGCATGCTCAGCTGTTGGGAACAGTCAGCAGAATAAACTAGAACAGCATCACATTTGATCAGTGTAAGAGTCACATTCAATATGCAGTCACTTAAAAAGCATTTATTGGGCTGTTAAGGTGTCCATAACCTACAAACTAAACACAATCCCTATCAAACTACCACCAGCATTTTTGGCAAAAATAGAAAAATTCATCCTAAAATGCACATGTACTCTTAAGGGCCCCTGAACAGCCAAAACAATTTTGTAAAAGAAGAATGAAGTTGGAGGACTGAGACACCCAGATTTCAAACCACAGTACAAAGCCACAGTAATCAGAAGTGTGGTGCTGGCATATGGATAAATATACCAATGCAATAGAATAGAGAGCCCAGAAATAAACCCTCACATATATAAAGCCAAGATTCAAGAAGTTCAGAGAACTGTGAGCATGAGGAACCTAAAGAAATCCACGCCCAAACACATCATGGTGAAATTGCCAAAGACTAAACTACGAAGTAGAAATTTTGAAAGCAACCAGGTAAATGATACCTTACCTATAGGGGAAGAGAAATTCAAACATCTGTGGATTTCTCATGAGAAACGATAGAGGTTAGGAGGAGAAAGAACATTTTTTAAAGCACTGCAAGAACTGCCTGTTTCATCTTTCAAATCTCAGCTAAAACAGCAACTCTTCAGAATGCTTCCCCGACTACCTCACACAAAGTAATGCCTTTTTCCATCCACATCAATTGATGGTTCAACCCTATTTTATTTTCTTCAGCCCTTATCACTTTCTGGAATTACCTTGTTTACCTTTCTAGTATTTGTCTCCCCATTCGAGACCCCAGGGACCTTGCCCAGTTCCTCTCTGAATGCCCAGCACCTACAGCAGCACCTGAGGCAAGGTGCTCATCAATATGATGGATGAGCCAACACAGCAACCTGACTCCGGCTTTCAAGGACAACGATTTCACCAGGCAAAGTAAAAGAGAAACATTCCAGAAAGAAAGTAGCCTAAAATATATACTTGGAAAGAGCATGCAGGGCACACTTGGGAAACAGGATAATTCCAGTGGTCAGAGCATAGGATACACATAGTGAAAGATAAACAAGAAGCCTCGAAGAGTAGACTGGCGCCAGATTGAAAAACACTTTGTATGCCACGCCATGGGAGCCATTACAGATTTTAAGCAGGACAGTGACTGATCCCATCTATATTTCAGAAATAAAAACATACTCACAAAATGATATTTATTTATATTCTGTCTCCTTCTAAGAGAGATTTGAGATACCTTATATAAGTATAGATACTATTTAGTCAAGTTAAAAGTGTGCATACCTCTAATAAGATGACTGAAAAGATCGAATCTCTCAAACTGCTACTCACAACTCATTAATGGGGATTTGAAATTAGTTTAGTGGATATAGTGACTGACAATTTAAAAAATGGAATAAATAGAAAATGCCAAACTGTATCACACATAGTAAGGGTAAGCACTATTTTGTGAAACTTTTGTTTCAATTATATATATACATGTGTGTGTATGTATATATGTATGAGTTACATGTACTGGGTAAGGATATAAATATATTTCCTACTGATCTAGACTAGAGCAAGAGACCGCAGACAACTGCCCTCAGGCCTACTCCCACCTGCCAGCCTGTTTTTATAAATGAAGTTTTACTGGAACACAGCCGTACCCATTCATTCACACCTTGCCTATGGTTGCTTTTGTTCTACAAAGACAAAGTTGATTAGTTATGACCAAAGACCACATGGCTCAATAGCCTAAAATATTTACTATCTGACCCGTTGCAGAAAGTTTCCCAGCCTCTGATCTGGAGCACCTGTTCCCAACTAGGGCAATTTTTCAGCATCTGAAGATAGGTTTCATTGACAAAACTTGGGGGAGTGAGAGATGCTATCTGGCAAACAGAAGCCAGGAACACTGCCAAACCTCCTATAATAAATAGAACAACCCCTTCTACATCTGGCCCAAAATGTCAGCAGTGCTGAGGTTGAGAAACCCTGATCTGGAGAAATGTCTACACACATATAAGAAGAATGTCTGTACTAGGACTGTTAACAGCACCAAAAACCAACAGCACTCCAAATGCCCATCAAAGGTGCCCTATATAAATTCACATGGGCATATTCATGCAGTAGAAGCCTATGAAACAATGAATTAATGCACTAGTTATACAGAACAAAAAAGATGCTGAATGAAGAAAACAAGCTACAGAACACACAGGGTGATTCCCTTTGGATACAAATATATATGGTATATAATTACAAAAGCAAAGGGATTATAAATATAAAATTCAGAAGACTGGTTACCCCGAGGAAGAAAAAATGGGATGGGAGGTGGGGCCACACTGGCAACTCCCAGGGGTCTACTTTTCTTAAATCAGTACTCATTGTACTTTCACTCTGTATTATTTGTACTTACTCAGATTTTTTTCCAAATTAGGAAACAATCACTGTGAAGGCAAAACAAAGACTGGACAATAAGATGAAGAAACAAGTACACAGAAATGCATACCACAAGGCCCTACAGAACTGCCAGGCTTCTAGCTTGATTTTCTTAGCAGACACAGCAAAGAGAGAAATACAGTCAGTTATTGTATTGGAATGCCTGGGAGAAGCACAGCTCTTCCCAGCACTGCAACTCAAAAGAAATCTCCCTCATGAGCTTTCTCAAAGGACCCTGGCAATATCCTCCATATCCGAACAATAAAAACAATACTCAGCCTCACACAGCTACTCCTTGTAACAGTGAAGCTTTGGTACAGCCTAAAAAATACACTATTAACATTGAAACTTCGCAAATACCAAATCATATATCAAACTGCCCCACTCAATCCCTGCCCAAACACCTCTGCCAACCTAAGATGCGGGCTGGAGTTGGAAAGAGAGACCAGAGTAAGATGAGAGAGGCAGGGAAGGCCCAGGAATGGGAGAAGGAAGAGTACCAGACACCTCCCAGCAGACTACCTGCATATAACGGATAAAGCAAACTACTTGATACTTGTAGGAGCCGCTGATCATTTTAAACAAAGGAGATGCTTAACTCTTCATGTACGTTATTAATAGTTCCATCTTCAATTCTCAGAGTGTCTTTTTAAGACACTACTACTGGGGTGGAAAGAGTGAAGGGGTGGAAGGAGAGGCAGGCGGTGGACGGAGAGAAAGACCTGTTCGCTTCCGCTCTAGATCATACAGGAAATCCTCGCTGAACTTCCTAACAGTATTTCTCTCAGTGTGCTGTCTCCCCACTCCATGAGTAAACATATTAGATATATATAAACTCACATTTTATATCTCACAATTGTGGTTTTCAGAGACATAAATTCTAAAAGCCTTTTACAAGTTTTCAACTTGTTTTGAATTTAAAAACAATTCACGCTCATAAAAATTCAAACACTCTAGAAAAAGTATGTAACAAAAGTCCCTTCTTGTCAGAAGGTTACAAAAAAAGAGAGTAACTTCAGGTATTTTTCCCAAAAGCTGGCCCTCTTTTCAGTTTCCCTAGCGCAGGGTGAATGGCACCGTTACCCATCTAACAGGAACCAGAAATCTAAGCCTTCCTTGATACATCTTTCCCTCAGCCCCCACACTTGATCAGTCACCAAACTCTGGAGATTCTACCTCCTAAATAGTCCTCCAATCTTCCACTTCTTTCTACCATGACCTTTCAGCACACTTACCCAAAATTTTATTATTTCATATCTGCATTACTGCAACAGCCTCTTACCTGGTCTCCCTAAATCAACTCCTGTCCACCTCCAATTTACTCAATAGCCAGAGTGATCTTTTCAAAATCCTTTACCCCTATGGATTACAACAGGTCAGTATCTTCCTACTGCTCTTAATGGTTAAGGATCAAAATCCTGAACATGTCAACCAGGTGCTTTCAGGTCTCAGCTCTGTCTCTCCAGCCTCATCTTTTCCCATTTAACCCTAACCATTTCTCCAACCAATATCCTGCCTTCTGCCTTGGAAGCTTGGCAGTTGGAGTAATTATTCTCCTACAGTAGTTATTGATGTTAATCTCCGTCTAAAAAAGCCTTTCTCACTACTCTAACTCCTATCTCAGATCAATCTAATAATCACTTCCTCAGAGAAGTCCTCCTTCACCTACCTCTCCATTAGATAAAATACCAATGTACTGGCCACACCTCTCCTTCCCATAGCACTTAACACGCACGGAACTTTGTCTCTGCACATTATTATTTCTATGGTGAGCTCCTGTGCGGTACACAGACTATATTCTGTATGCCATTCCAGTACTTGTGGTCTCTTACGACCCCTTTCCCGAACGCTGGAACTGCCTCATGCGGCGTTCTTGGCCACTTAGGTAACCACAGAGGCTGTTCCCTCCGTCTAGAATGTCTTTATGGCTCTTGCCATAACTTCTCAAGTTGCACCTTAAGTGTCATCTCTTTCAGGAAGTCTTCCCTGGCCATTCTACCTAAAACAGGGCTCCCCGTTATTTTTTTGTCTTCCCCGTAGTAACTGTCACAATTTGAGTTATGTACTTTTACTTGCATGGTTATGTGCGTGACGACTGACTTTCCCCCACTAACTTGTACTTTCCAGGCAAAATGTAACCAACCGTCTACTTAGTCACCTCGGTTTTCTCAAGGCCTAGCGCTGGGGCTGGCCCGTAGTATGCGTTCAGTATTTATGGAACCAAAGAAGGCAGCCAAGGGGGTCGGGCCACTAACTCATCGTGGGGTACCAGGCAAGTCCTTTCCCCCTTGCTGGGTCTGTTTCCCCAGAGGGGCAGGTGCACAAACGCCTCAATGCAGTGTGACGGCTTCCACAACAGGAAGGGGAGACCGAGGGGCGGGAACACACCCCCAAGGGGGCGCCCCCGGAAAGAAAAGCCCGGGGCGGGGCCTCAGTGGGAAGAGAATTCTGAGAAGGCGGGGGCCGCCAGGCCTCGACGTCAGGCGGGGAGGGGGCAGCCCCGTGTCGGTGACCCGAGGACGGCTCGGGGAAAGCCCGACGGGCTTGGAGGCGGGGCCAAAGAAGGAGAAGTCCTCACCTGTCCGGTCCGGGTTCAAAAGGCCAGGGCGAGGAACCCCCGGGCCTGCTCTACGCGCGCCTCCCCAGGCCCCGCCCCCGCCATGCCGGCAGGCCCGGCGTCCCCGGCTGCCCGTCCCCGCTTCCGCTAGTCACCGGAAGTGCGGCGCAGCGAAAAGAAAAGTGGGGAGAGCGCGGCCAGCGCTGAGATATGTTACAGCGCCCCCTTGTGCCCGGAGGAGGATCGCAGCCACCGAGGCCCACTGGCTGCTAAGGGAAAACAGCGCAGAGCCCTAAGCTGGGCGCCCCGTGCTCTCTCACCGCCGTGGCTCTGCACCTGCTGAGCACTTCTGCAGAAGCATGAATAAAAATTACTTTTTCACCCCTTGACTCAGTGCACCATGTCATCAGCTGAGAAGTTTTCTGTGGTCTCCGAAACAGTGAGCTCTTGGAGGACCAAGCCTACTTAACTCCAAATATTTGGTCCCCAGTAGAGTCGCTGGCAACTGGTGGATGTACAGAAAAGCTTCTTGCACCAACGTAATCCCATCATCTGTACTTGACTTTCTCTTACGTTATCTCGTTCGGTCGCTTAAAAGCTGATTCTACAAGAGAAGCCTTTGCTTTGACCTCTTTCTGGATGACCTGCTGCCAGGTTTTCCGGTGTCAGCCTCCCTCAGATCATTCAGGTCTCAGCGTAAATGTCACCCCTCCACTGCCATCAGTCTGTTTTTTCATAGCACTCATAGTCATCTGATATGACCTGGGGGGGGGGTGTATTGTAATTTCTTTCTTTGTTCTGTTTCCCTTGTCCCCACCAGAAGGTAAATTCTCAGAGCAGGGGTTTTGTCTTGTTCTCTGTTCTCTCCTCACCTAGAACGGGGTTTGGCATCTTGTAAATGCTCAGTAAAGATTCAGTCCATGAATGAATGGCTCTGCCCACAGAATTCACAGCGACTCTTGAGGAAAGAGACTCTGGGATGGTAAGTGTCTTGGAGATGTGGGGTGGCCAAAAAGAAATGGGGTGGATTATTGACCCAGTCTTTGACATTTCCAAACTGAATATTCCGGGTGATGACTTCAGAATTTCCACTTTCTCTCTGGGAAATGAATATTGTATACTTGCCTTGTAAGGTTACTCAAAGAATTTGAAGTGTTACATCCAAAGTCCTGGCACAGAGCCTGGAACGTGGTAGTTGCTCAGCAAGTCATTATTTTTGTAATTACCCAAGACCAACTCCCATACTTACCGATGATTAAATTGAGAGGGTCACAACTTGCACACGTTCATACAAATACAAGTAGCAGAACTGGAGGGGAGAGTATGACCCAGGACTTGCATGTCCCTTTTTCCAAGGTTGTCCCCTCCAGGTTCAAATTCCAACTCTGCCACTCTGTTTCCTATATTATTTTAGGAATAAATTAGATAGGAGATTTTATTATTTTTATTATATATTATTTATCAATAATATAAATTATTATTTTTCAATTTGGAGATCAGATAGGAGAATGTATTTCAACCTGTAAAATGCTACCCAAATGAAAATGTTGGAGGCCTGCTGCCTCTGTGCCAGGCCTGGGAATTGAAACGGGTAGCTTCATCAGCACCAGCTGTTGAAGAATAAACAGCACAGTATCTTTCCTTGCGGTTGTGGCACTGGGCAAGAGAGAGAGAGAGAGAGAAACACGCTTCAAAAAGAAACTCTGTCCCACATCCACACACGTGTATCTCATCCCACATATAAATATCAACTCAAAATGGATCAGAGACCTAAATGTAAGGATTGATCTATAAACTCTTAGAAGAAAACATGAGCATGATTCCTTGTTAACTTTGGATTAGGCAACAGTTTCTTAGATGTGACCCCAAAAGCACAAGCAACCGAAGAGAACAAATAGATAAACTGAACTTCATCAAAATTAAATATGTTTGTGCTTCCAAGGACGCTTATAAGAAAGTGAAAAGACAACACACAGAATGTGAAAAAAATATTTGGAAATCATACGTCTAATAAGGATCTAGGGTCAAGAATATAACAAGAAACTTTTACAACTCACCACCAAAATACAACCCAACTGAAAAATAGGCAAAGGATCTGAATAAATGTTTCTTCAAAGAATGTATGCAAATGGCCAATAAACACATGAAAAGGTGCTCAACACCATCAGTCATCAGGAAAATGCATGTCAACACCCCAGTGAGATACTACTTCACAGCCACTAGGACGGCTATACTTTTTTTAAAAAGGAAGATATCAAACATTGGTGAGGATGTGAAGAAAATAGAATTCTCATGCATTGCTGGTGGGAATAGTGCTGTGGAAAACAGACTAGCAGTTTCTCAAAAACTTAAACACTGAGTTACCATATGACCTAGAAATACCACCTTTAGTTATGTAATCAAGAGAAATAGCATGTCCACATAAAAACTTATACACAAATACTCATAGCAATATTATTCATAATAGGTAGAAAGTAAAAATAATTCAAATGTCCATTGATGGATGAATAGATAAGCCAAAGGTGGTGTATCTATATGGAATATAAGTTAATCATAAAAAGGAATAGAGTGTTGATACAGGCTCGAACATGGATGGATCTTGAAAATACTATACTAGATGAAAGAAGCCAGACATAAAGGGCCACATATTGTATGACTCCACTTAAATGACATATCCAGAATCCATATAGACAGCAGACCGGTGATTGCCAGGGGATAAGGAATAAGGGGAACAGGGAATTGCTAATGGGTTGGCTTTCTTTTGGGGCTGATGAAAATGTACTAGACCTAGATAGTGGTTGATGATTGTACACCTCTGTGAGTATGCTAAAAACCACTGAATTGTTCATTTTTAAATGGTGAATTTTATGGTGTGTATACTATATCTCAAGTGAAAAAAAAAGGACCCCCAAATTTCAGGTTGTTCCAGCTTCATGGCTGGGGTTGTGCAAGGACTTTGCCTTCAATTCAGAATAAAATGCAGAGCTACAGGAGGGCTTTGAGCAGAGGAACAGCATAAACAGGTGTATGTTTTAGAAGATTCACTCTGGCTGCTTCAGGGAGAGGGGGCTATTGACTGAGACCAGCCAGAAGGTTACTGTAACAGTCCAAGCAAGAGATGATGGTGTCCTGGATTGGAGTGGTAGAGTTGTGAGGAGTGGTCAAATTTGGAATATATGCTGAAGATGAAGTCAACAGGACTCACCAGTGGGTGTACAGGTAGTGTGAGAGAAAGACAAGAGGCAAGGATATCCCAAGGTATTTGGCTTAAGTAACTGAATGCTTTTGTTCAGAACGTAAAAGAATATTTGGATTGGGCTATATTTGAAATCACCTCCACAAGGACAAGGACAGTTTCTGTTTTGCAACTACTGATTCTTGAGACCCAACACAGTGCCAGGGACATAGACACTCAATAGAGATTTCGTTGAATGTCAATAACAGCGTTTTGTACATGCAGGGCAGCGCCTCAGTGGGAAGTTTTCAAGCACACCGTATAATGCATCTCACTTCCCCAGCTCTCCAGCCAACCTTTCCCAGACGTTCCAATTTCTAGTTCCCCCGCTCCCTCCCATCGTGCTCTCACCGGGGGAAGAACACTGAGTCCTGAGCCCTCCCTGCGTCTTGATGCTCCTGCCTCCATTGTCTCTCTCAGGAGTCCATGAGCACACAGGGTCCCCAAAGAAGCGGGAGGATGGAGGGATAGGGAGGGGGCCTGAAGGACTTGAGAGCTTCCTCGCCTCTCACTCCAGTCCTCCTGTGGCTTCTCTGCCAAGGCTTTTAGCAGCTCCACTTGCTGTCTGCATTAGCCCTGAGAGGAGGGGATGGGAAGAAAAGCAGGACAAGAGGCTCTTGTCCTTTCTCCCTTTCTAGAAGAGGCTGGCACAGCTCTTCTCACCTCTGTATTCAAAGGCAGACATTTCTTACCTGAGTGTTACACCACTATCACCCCATCACCACCGCTGTCATCATTGTCATCAGCACCACCGGTCCTTTAATCAGAACCATTGCAATCACCATTTTGTGCACATTTACTGCACTCCGGACCCTATGCCAATCATTTCACCTGCATCATCTCATTTAATCCCTTGGTTGACCCTGTGCGTTAGGTATTATTATCCCCACTTTACAGATGCAGAAACTGAGGCTGGGTTTCACTTGACCCTCTTTTAGATTCCCCTACCTTATTCTTGTTGTACTTACTTCTTCAAAATAAGTCCTTTATTGCTTGCAGGAACTGCTCAGTTTCTACTTCCAGTTTCTTAGCCTTCAAATTTCAAATCCAGGTTCTTATCAGTTGTTTGAAGATGCATCTTCCCTCCATGTTCTTGGCTAAACGCTTCAGGCCCCAGGAGTAGTTTTTCTTAACCTTTGGTGATGTTGTGGCCTTCGGTATTTCTCCGACAGTCTTGCCACGGCTCTGGCCCCTATGACTTAGTGCTCGGGCAACAAGATGTGTTTTGTTCTGTTCAGTTTGGGCAGGAAAGAATAACTTCCAGATTTGGATTAAAAGGAACCTAGCGGCAGCTGTTGGGCACTTCTACTATTTTAGCTATTTCTTGCCAAAAATCACACACGCACACGCACACAGCTTTCTCTTGGCATGAAAATGTTTAGGGGGAATTGCTCTTGTTCATAGGGCAGAGACAAAGAGTCTGGGCTTCAAAGTGAGACTGACTTGGGTTTACACACGTGAGCCTTTGCTGTGCCCAATCTGGGGTGGCTGGGGACAAGGACAGGGCTCAAGTGTAGCCCTAGCTGGCTCAGCCAGCCCTGGGACTCTGGTACGAGGCCACATCGGCTGAGGATGGAGTGTGTCTTCTCACTGGCTTACCCAGAGGACTTGCCTTTTTTTGCAGTTAATCTGCTCAAAGAGGGAGAGAGCCTTGTTCACACCAAAGTGCCTTATAGCAGCAGCAACCATGGTGTGGTAGAGGAAAAACTCATTTTTGTCCTATGCTAGCCGCATGACTTTGGACAAGTGAGAAACTTCATCTCTCTGTTCTGTGCAGCCAATCTTTTCAGGCCACTTGCTCTGCGTTAGAACATTCAGGCAGCGTGCTGGGTGTGCCCCACCCAAGGTGAACAAGTCAGGTTCCTGCCTCAGAGAAGCCTTCGGCTTAGTGGGAAAGACACCCCGGCGCACTGTCTCATCTCTAC